CACTCTCACAGAATATCAACATAAAATGGCAGCTTAATGCTGTTGTGTTTCGTATGGTGACTGTAGAGAACCGGAGACCCTTTTTACTGGAAATGAGATATTATTCCATCTTAGTCCTCAGGGGTGACAACGCATCTGCATTTTGTTTCGCGAACGAGTATAGATGGAGATGTCTATGGGCCACAGCAACCACTTACCATCAGGTGGACTGTGTGCTCGTTTGTCACCACTATCCTATAAAAAAATACTAAGTGAGGAATGTGCCAAAGTGACGATTATTGCAAACCCTCCCTACAATAGGAGACAGCAAGTTTAAATATAAAGCGAGATTCAAATATGGCGGTCCCTTACTTACCCCTTATATACACCAGTTGTGCGTGCAAGCATAGAACTAGGAAGATCTCGACAACATCTTAAGTATCTGTCGATTGAAACCAGCCATGCCCGCGCACGTCTGAACAGATAAGGCCATGCCATCAATAACATAACTTGTAAAAAAACCAAGTCTCGCAACTCAGTACAAAGTTGTGAGATTCATGTAATACCAAGTCGGTTAATTTATTCAGTCCCTACTTAAAGGTCCTTCTGTCTGAAGTTATTACGTAATTAGCTAACCTCACAACATCTTATATTGACCATATAAATATTAAAAATCTTTTATGTTTTAAATACATAGATTGACTCTGCCGTGCCCCCAGATTCACGTACCATACTAGCCATACTCTCGCTATCAAAATATCGTAAAATGAAATAAATATATTTCCTTTATTTTTCTTTACAACGTAGGCGGCCTATGGGATTGGCACCTGGAGGGGCTGCTCCGTTCGCCCCTTTGGTAAGGCCGGCCTGCCTGCAGTAGACTTTCATGTACTGAAGATTAAATTTTAATAGCGATGCTTTTAACATTACTAGTAAAATTTTATCCACTCCGAATCAGTGTTAAATGCTTATGCTTGGATATTCGCGATAGTAATTTAAAATTGGTTATAAACCAAGCTAAGCTAAACTAATTAAATTATCTTCTAAAAATTATTGGGGCCGTAAGGAAATCCAATACCACATTTCGTGACATCAGTTTCGTAAAAGGTGTCGATGGAAAAGACAGCAATATCATAACGGCGTAGTGATGATTTCCCTTATGTCAGTTGTAAAATATCCAGACGTGCACGGTATGCAGCGTCAAAAGTTCAAAATTTCTGATACTGTGGTAGGAAATGTGCTAACTAAACAATGGCAATTAGGACAATGGGGACTTACTTTTAGCTGTGGACTATTGCATGCTTATGAAGTAGATAGTGCTAATAAACCTAAAAAAAATGTGTGACGGTTGTGAAGCTAATTCAATTTTTTGTACGCAAAATATGAAATATACAAAACGTTTTATCTACATAGTATTTAATGGTGAAAATTATAAATCGGCCTAACATTAACGCCTTTTCACGAAACTTTGTAAATATGCAATGTTTAACCAAACAAATCAAATGCTACCCACGAAGTCAGTAAGATGTTTATTGGAAAGTTGTTTGCAAACGCACAGTTCTAGAAACTGTTAGTTTAAAAACCTCATATTTTACACGTAACGACCGCTTGGTTAAATATTCGATAATGATTATACATGGTACATTAAAGTAAGAAATTTAGACGGATTTTAGATTCGAATTCTTGCTGGAATCATCGTCATTATAATCGATAGTTGTCACAAATCCATCAACTTCACCGTGAGTGTAAAGAAAATATAATGGTATAACTGGTGTTGGTAATGCTCCATATAAGTGCGTGATACAATATTGCGTAAGAAGTTATATCGTCTTATAAGTTTTATTTGATTTTTTGTTGTTGATTTTAGTAATTGAAATTTAATGGAGGGTAAAACTGTCACAACTAAATTTAATAAATAAATTACAGACCGCCATTATATACCTAATAAAATAAAATTAATTGGTTTTAAGATTTCATAAAATACCCACAAATATAATAAATAGTAGCCTACACAAAATTACGTTGTAGAGTGGTCACAATAAAATTGTTATTTCCAACCGGAGATCCGTAGGTCAGTGCGCAGGTCAGATTTGTTTCAATCATAAGTCATTAAGGTTAAAAATACAATTTTGGACATAGGTATGTTCAGATATGTAATTTAGATAACGCATACATAACATAACATAAAAATAAAACTTGAGTAGAACAGACCTTGTTTAACTAAACATATCTTGTTTCATGTCGTGGAGTGGTGACGTTAGAGAATCTAAGAGTATCACCATATTTCTGTCCTGTGTCCCTGTGGATCTGTAGTAATGTATGTCACGTCAGACATGTCTGAAAGTAAGAAGTGACCTTAGAAATTTACAGAAAAATCTTATGGCTTACAATAGATGACAATATAACTAGCTCCTTTTCGCCAGACGTCAATACCCAGGAATCCGGCGGGCCATAGAGTCAAAGAGAAAAGACATCTGGTACTGCGATTATCAATACTACTCCCAAACATGACGATCGCAAAATCACGAAAACAAATCCTTCCTAAACAGTAAAGGTCCAGGTCCATTATTGATATTTACGGATATTTACGCCATTAGAAGGGTTAAATTGCCTAGCGACCGTAATCTTAAATATTTTAAAATAATATAAAAAATGTCACGCAAAATATTTTTGGAATGTTTTCTATGTCTAAACTCATAAAATACAATAACACTTACATAAGTGTTGTTGTATTTTATGATTATATAATTGCAATTTAATCAACATTGATTAAATTGCAATGTTTTGTTGCTTATAGCAAGATATTTACATTAAGATTAATGTTGAAAATCAAATTCAATCTAGGAACAAACTTTGCCCGCAAAGAAAATGAAACTTCCACTACAATCCTTTCTACAAATCCGATCGATTCTTCTGTCCAAACATTTGCTAAAAAAAAACGAAATGCCTCAACGTCCTGTTATGACCAAAAACGTTCTTTACGCACACAATTTCTTACAGTCATTGCCGTCTTTTATTGGTCTGTCATCAAGCATCAATGACGTTCTTCTTCCAGTCGATTTCTGTAATCGCGAGTATATGAAGTGTGTAACCATCATCGCACTCAAAATTTGCTCAGCACGCGCGTTTTTACGAGCGACTATTAAAGTTGTGGTCGCGGATTATATCTAATAAATTCATATACGTAAAGCTAAATATAGCCTGGTGCCTAATTACAATTACACGTTCTGTTACACGTTTATAGATTGAATCATTAAATTGACCAATTTTATTGAACACATTTATATGTTATTCAATACATTAACATATTATATTTCTTACGTTCCTGACAGCATAGTCTACAAACTATTTATTGCTTTTTTTAGATTACGATATATTTGATTTCATTAAGATTGAGATTAGGTTTATTCATAAAATCTTTGAATGAATTTTAAAAGCAGAATGCCAAATCAGATATATTTTTCCATTTAACATTTATTCCAGGGCGCTTGTGCACTTATACTATTGTTGTTTGTTGTAGACAATTTTCATATTCTTAAAATACGATTCAGAATACCCTTCCCTACTTTATTTTTATAATAATATAATTAGAATAGTTTTATTTAAAATTATAATGAACATTTATGGTTTTTAAATTCCAAAAAATACATACGAGATTCCGTAAGTCCCAACACGCAATTTCCGTTACAGCCTATCAGTTATTACTGAACATAGCCCCCCCCCCCCCCACTAGTTTGCCAGGTTGGCAAAACCAGTTTTTATTTTTATTTTTTAGTTTTTATTAGAAAGACGCTACTGCCCATCTCTTGGTTTGTTTCCTTCTATCGCCTGCCACAACACCTACGGGACGATATGGGGTAGTAGATATTCTTGCACCGCCGTTACAAGGCTAAATACACACTTGGCTCTTTTTAATCTATATCCGACATTTCTTTACTCATAACCGGTCAATACTTTATGTCCCGATAATTGCACATATGAAATCACGTTTTTATCGCGTTCTTAAAAAATACAAAGGAATCTAATAAGATTAAGTGCACAGACGCATTACATTTTTACGAGGTAAAATAGGTTTCTTTGGTTGCTTTAACTTGCTCCGAACCGTGTCAATACTTATCGAGACGAATCTTCGTGTTGTGTCAATTTGGGGATAGAAAAGTATTAAAAGATTAGATTAGATACAGAATCATGTGGTGATTATGTTGCGTACGAATCAGGTGACCGATGTTGTTGTATTCCAGATATAAATTCGAACGCTTAAAACTCGACGGCCTCTAGGCGACCAATTACAATATTCTTATTTGTTAAATTATTGTAAAATATTTATTATTGTATCAATAATGTAATTATTGTTTTCAAATAAAAGGCTTATCGAGGTTTAAATAATTTTTAAATATAACATATGAATCATTATTGTTTATCACGATGTTTGTTTGTATGCGCGCACATACACCGCAAACTATCTAATAAATGTATAATTATTTAAAGGTCTTATACAACTAATGATTTTCTCAGAAACCATTGACTGGAATATTAATTAAGAATGAATATTTACTTGCTCATATCGATAAGATGTTTTAAGTTATCGTTTGAAATAATTTTGCTTATTCTTAATAATGTTGGTCTACCGACCGTACATTCGACATGACGTCTGTCTATTATCACAAAAAGTAACGTCCACAGTTTCTTCAATTTTTATGTCGATGTTGTTTGAAGAGATAAATTGTGTAAATAGCGTTAAAGTAAAAAAATGTATCATTTCAGGGCGTCGCCGAGGTACGCGGGGCTGACACCAAGGCGGTGAAGCAGGCGGCCGTATCACCACTACTCCGGCCGTCCGCGACCGCGCCGCACGACTCTGTCGCACTCGACCCACACACATCCTGCGCTTCCCCACTAAACTGTGCTCACAAACCGTTATAAACTAACTCTAGTGCCCGTGAACGACACAACGTACCTTGACTCAAATAAAACCTGTGCGAATCCCTAGTGTTTCGGTGCAGTGCTCTATAACCGAGTGAATGCGCGTGTGCTTTGACACCCTCTGCTTTGGATCGTCACAGCGAACAGCTGGTGACGATGAGCCGAGGGCCGTAGTGCATACAGGTGGAGGAGCGCTTACCGTGGCGCCAACAGTAAACGGCGATAGACGTGCCTTAGACGAAACGTACAGAGAAGTAGAATTGAATGGAATAATGGGGACTCCGAGCGCGATGAATTCAGACTCAGAGAATTGCGTTGTGAACGCAACTATGGCGAACGATATGCAGCCGTTATTAGAGAGAATTCGGGAGTTGGAGACGTTGTTGAAGCAGCGCGATCAAGAGATGTTGGAATTGCGGTCCCAGTTGGATAAATTGCAGAGTGTTTTCCCGTATCAGCAGTATGCTAGATCAAGAGGTCCAAGGAAGCAGAGAGCGCAAGGTATCTCTGCTGAGCCACAGACTAGTTCGTCGCTTCAAGACCTCACTCATCAAACATTTCCCGTGTACGACAAAAGCGAAACGTGAGTACCTAACTTCCTATCAATTAGAGCATACTTATTAATTATACGATAGCATCGACACAATTGTACTCCGTTGATCGACTCGAAGAGCCTGTGTTGATAACTGTTATCACATCGTTTCAGATAGGATGTTAATTTTAAATAATATTAGAGTTTCAAAAAACATAAACAACACGTCTTGGTGATGATATACAATGATCTTAGTGAGAATGCTAGTTCGTAGTCATAAATTTATTGTAATTTCATCGGTTTTTTTTGTATTGGATAGGGTAACAAACGAGCACATAGTCCACCTGATGCTAAGTGGTTGCTGTGACCCATAGACATCTACATTAATCCTCAATGAAGAATCAAAATGCAGATGCGTCGTCACCCGTAAGGACTAAAATGGAATGTATTCATTTCCAGTAAAATGGGTCTTCGGTTCTCTACACTCATCATACGAAACACAGCAGTGTCAAGGTGCCATTCGTGCTACAACTATACTACTAATATAGCTGCGGCATGGCTCTACCACGTATATTTTTTTTATTTATTAGGTTCTTAACACATCTGCAAAATTGACGAAAATTCAGATATCTTTGGTGAAATGTGATGATTTTGGTGAAAACATATAAAACACGATTACATTAATACATACATTTTTGAAGACATTCAAAGTAATATAAAGTTTCTAATAAAAACAAACCATTCCGCGACAGTCAATATGAAACAAAATTTTAATTAAAATATGTGACATTCGTCTCTCGAAATGTATGGATACCTTAAAAATTTACGTAGTTAGTAATTAATCTAAAGGTTATGTAGTATATTGACCATGTAGTGACGGTATTAAAATGTCCACCACCCTATATCGCCTGCAAACCTTACCCCACATCGTTGAATACCCCACCCTATATGTAATAATATAGGATGTAACGGTAACGGTAAACGGTCCTTTCTTAAGACATCTTAACGACGTTAACAAAATTAGATGATCATTTATACGTGGTAGAACCATACTACAGCTATTTTAGTAGTAGAGTTGTAGCATAAATGGGTCGGCTTGACCGGGGAAGAACCACGCGCTCACAGAATACCAGCGTAAAATAGCAGCTTAACACTGCTGTGTTTCGTTTGGTGAGTGTAAAGAACCGGAGACCCTTTTTACTGTAAAAGATGCATTCCATCTTAGTCCTTACGGGTGACAACGCATCTGCATTTTTATTATTTATTGAGGATTGATGGAGATGTCTATGGATCACAGCAAGCACTTACCATCAGGTGGACTGTGTGCTCGTTTGTCACCCTATCCTATAAAAAAATCATAAATACAACATGTGGATTTTCATAGGCATCAACAAATGCAGCAACAAATGACATTCAGTTCGCACGTGTTTCGCGATATTTAATAAATTTACGAAACGAGCTAACAGTGTATACTTTTATCATAGTATGTTAACTAAATGTTCGTGACTGTCAAATATGAAATTTACTTCTTAAATTTGCACCTGTAAGATCATGGCTAATAATTGCAAACCCTGTCGAAAATAAACAAGTATTTTGATACAAACATGACCAAATTATTATAAACGTGCTACTCAAATGTTATACCAAAATTACTAATTTCCGATCTCAGGTACTGTTTTTCAAATTCTGGTCACTACTCACACATAAGCCACGTACGTAATCGCCAAGTAAAAATACCCTTTTTGACTGTAACCAGGAATCGATAATGATTTCTTATATTTACGCGAATAGTGCGCATTAATAGAAACTAAAGGAGAAGGATACGTCTCCATACATTCTTGCGCCCAAGTGTTAACAAGATGAAAGTAGGACCATTTGATAGCGTATATATATAAACAATTCATAGCTGAAAATCTGGCAAGATTTGGCAATCTAGGAGCTGAGTTATTGTACAATAAGTAAAAGTGGGAATATCTATTACCTACACTGTAACAGGTGATTTTTCACTGTTATTACACTGTAACAGGCTATTTTTCACTATAATTACTTAAAGATATAAAAGCAGGATCAGTATAAAATCACCAGAAAAGCTGTGGTTAATAATGAAACGAAATGGTGAAACGATGAACAAAAGTTAAAACAACAATAACTACGTGAAGTGAATATTAGGGATATCGAACTGAGATCGATTACTTGAATTGTTGTTGTGACTGTTACTTGTTGGAATTTTGATATTTTGTACTTTTTATTATTATTTTGTAGATATGTACGCATTTTTTTTACTCCCTAGTTAACACAGAAAATAATCGAAAATAGATATTGAAATGCTCAATTTAATCGAGAATCGATCATATTGCGCTCGTTTCAAATTGAATCGAAAATCTGTCCTTTTCTTTTTAAGTAAACAGTTTGAAGTTTGCACTGTCAAATTTCAAAATGAGAAGTCCTCTATCGGAAGATAACGTTCGGAAACGAGAATTTCACTAGTGTATTCTTTATGGTAATCGATTTATTGCCATAAATAATACACTACAATCGATTTTCTAACTTATTTCTTATTTTATTGTTTTTTCGAAATCTAGATTGTAAAACAAGCTACTTTTTTGTATTTTACTTAAGAAAATATGGCCAATTTTTTTAAGTATTAACCAATTAGTTAACTTCAGGCCCAAAAATCCCATTCTTCTTTACGGATTTTATAGCGTTTTATTTCACTTTATAATTCCTCACGTTTCGGTTGCTTTACAATACTCATGGTCACGAGGGAACTGAGACAATAAAACCAGTAGAATTAGTTTAATTTAACATTAATAAGTATTCCATGTTAGGTCTCAGGGATCAGAATCAGGTACCATAATGCATCAGCAATTTAATTCTTAATCGTGGTACCATTCTCCTCGATTTATTTATCTTTGTTTGTTACCCTTTCATTCATTCATTCATTACAACTTATCATAAAGTCCACTGTTGATCATGGGAGGCCTATATTTAACAGTGATTACCATAGATTACCTCATAGGGGTGGCCAACTGCAGTTATTTTTATTATTTTAAGCTGTTACCAGGAAGATGCTGCTGCCCGTCTCTTGTTTCAGTTTCCCTTTGTCGCCTCACACGAAACTCACGGGGTGAGGTAGAGTAGTTACTAAATTATTATTTTTTATTATATTTATATTATAATTATAATTGTTAATAATTATAATATAAAAAATAATTATAATTATTAATTTTCTTATGCCGCCACACCACTGCATCTCCCTTTTTTATAGTATAAGAGTGAAAAACGAGCATACAGTCCACCTGATGGTAAGTGGTTGCTGTGGCCCATAGACATCTACATTTATCGTCGATTACGAATCAAAATGCAGATGCGTTGTCACCCGTAAGGACTAAGATGGAATGCCTCGTTTCCAGTAAAAAGAGTCTCCGGTTCTCTACACTCACCATACGAAACACAGCAGCATTAAGCTGCTATTTTACGCTGGTATTCTGTGAGAGCGTGGTCCTTCCCCGGTCAAGCCGACCCATTCGTGTTACAACTATACCAGTAATATAGCTGCAGCATGGCTCTACCACGTATAAAATATCTTTTTATTTACCACGTATAAAATATTTTTTAATTATCCCTTAAGACGAAATTGATCACTATTGACATGAATGCGCTGTAGGTCGTCCATCCCGGACGAACTAAACTTAACTAATATTAAGTGTTAAAAACCTGGGAACGCTTACTTTAAATTAGGTCGATTAAAATTATGTGTTTGTGTGCGTATGCGTGTATATAACAGGGTGTGTGGGTGTGTGTCCGTATGTTTGGGTGTGTGCCTTGTAACCCATACTTTTATAAAAAGATAACCATTTGAACTTAGAGTTTTATGGTGATAAAGAGACATCGTTTTAAAAATGTAGTACATATTATGTATTCACTGAAGTAATATCAAGTCAAAATTGATTTTTTGAGCCTGCGTTATCAAAATAATTTAGTCTTTTTATAACATCTGTATCTCCATGTATCAACAATGACTTTATATGTCTATCTTTAAGACATTTTACGATTTGCGTTTATATTGCGTCATTAAATTTCTTTCATTATAATCTTTTGAGCCAATCAACACATATCCTGTAATAACGATGTAATATAATTTTTATCTTTATATAACCTGTATCATCATTGTCAATATTTAAAAAATTCCAACGCCTACAGAAATAGCTACTATTTAAATGTTTGTACATATACCCGTTATACTATATTATACCCGTTATAAACAACATAATTTCCGCAGTACAAGATTTAAATATAATATGGACGTGATTATGCAAAAAGGATCCAACCCGAGTTGGTGTCAAAAATGTTGACTTGAAGAATAATGTTCGTGGTGTATACTATTATATGATGTAACAATTTTAGCAAACGTAACACAAATAAGAAGAAAAATTACAAACAGACAGTAACCAAATCGATCATTTGAGTTTATGATATTTGAAGCATGGATACTTCAAATATCATAAACTCAAATTAACTTATCGCGGGTTGGATCCTTTTTGCATAACTACGTCCTATTCGCATAATTACAATTTATTGCCTATTACAGAAACTGTTACCAGGTTAAAAAAAATACAGGTGTTTTTATAATGATTTCTTATATTTACGCGAACACTACACAATAAATGAAACTAATTTCGTTCCGGGAAGTCTGTAAACATGTTCAAGATCGTCCTGGCCATTACATTAGATTTGATAGACCACAAATCCTCGCAAAAGAACATTCTTACCAAGGATGATTCCCGAGGCTATTGAAATTAAAATACATCCTAATTTCAATAGAGAAGATTTATGGGTGCTGCCATCTGCTTGGGATCCTATAATTAATAAAATTAAATCCAAATCCAAGCATACCACGACTTAATATTCGAAAACTGAAGGTACTAGCCGGACTAACTATGACATCGGGACTCTGCCCCCCCCCCCCCCCCCCGTGGCCATGGGTACTGTAAAGGACCCGAAACGTCGGGAATTAAAAAGTTAAATTAAACGCGATAGAATCCGTAAAA